TGAGAGGGCCATTTGCTGAGACAAACTCAAACAAGCTCTGCAACCACATTTAGTGGGCTCAGCATCTCGATGGGACAATTTGAGAAAAGTGTTTATGTGTGTAAACTTGTTTTTTAATGAGTGCATAGCCAAAGAGATATTTGGCATGTCGTCTTCAGCTAAGCTGGTTCATGAATCTCAGTAAGCTAATGCAGGTCAGGCACAGTTTGATTTCCCAGTTATACCCCACTGGAATATAAGGTTGAAGATTAAGGGCAACATCCAAATGCAGCAACAAAGCAGCAGCCCTCTGTGACCTTGACACACAGCACCAGCTCTTTCATTAGAAACAAGACGTGATTGATAAAGTATAACTGGCAAGTGGCTTCTCCCTCATCCTAAGTGAGATATTGGAGAGTGCTAATAACTGGGGCTGTCCTGTACTGCTTTGCTGTATGGATAGACGATTCAGTGATGTAATCCTTAATCTCAACCAGCCATGCGCCACAGGTTCAGCCAATCGTGACGTTGGTGAGCGGTGATGCTGGTAAACACAAGTGACGTTCTCCTGGAGGTTACTCCTCATGAAACATTAAGACCTAGCACACATTTTAATCATTCATATGAAGCATAGCAACAGTGTGTCAGCTGCTGTGAGCTCAGAGCACACACACCTGCTTACAGACAGAGAGGTATACACTCTTTCAACTCTAGATGACTTATTGTAGACGAGGCGCAGGACACTTCTGAAGGTCCAGACAATGTGAAGTCAGCAAAAAATCTGCAGTCACCAGGGAGCTGAAACTGCGAGAACTTTATATCAAAAATCATTGCTCTGAGCTGGCTATGTGGATAGATGAAGACTTTGAGTAATGATCTTTTGTCAGATAAGTCTTAGGTCACTTTGTTGTTTGACTTTAATTAGATACAAATACTGAACACAAGAAAGTCACTGTATACAAGAACAGTGAAAAATGTAAGAGCAGCTCGTACACGTAAACCCAAGTATCAACAAATGTTCAAGGAACCAAAATGTGAACAGAACTACTTGCTTTGCTTTGTCAATAAAATATTTTATTGACCAAATGTTCTTGTGTTGTCTATCAGTTCTACCCCTTAATAAACGGATTATGGAGAAAAACCTAAAGTAACATTCAGCATTAAAATTCTGGTCATATTTGCAATTTTATTTGGGGATTCTTTGATCACATGTGACTTTTTTAGTTAATGAAAGTGATTTTTAAGAAAATCCTGCTTATACTTCTTTAAAAAATTATAACAAAATATATAGTTTTGGTTTATTAGCAGGAAATAACAGGTACAATAAGTAACATTATTGATGGCTCTGTTACATTCAATTACCCATTTAGCCATGAGAGTGAGGCAGCATGCACAATATCAGGACCCTGAAACTGAGCTAGCCTCATGGCATGCAGCCGTCATTAATTATATTATGTACACCTGTGCTCTACTGTGACACTTCAAGTGTTTCTATGAAAAAGGGCTAATCGCACCAACGTTTGATATTGTTTCTATGCTAATGTCTCATAGTTAGCCTTAAATGCACTTACCAATTTTCCAACCCATCCAACAATAATGACATCACAGGAGGTACGAGACTGAATGTGTGTCAGGGAAACAATGGGACTGTCCCAATAAGATGGTCCTGGTGGGTGTGGGCATGGCAGCAGTCACCTCACCACCATTGTCCTCCAATGGCATTCAGGAAATAAATTACCTCCCTGTAAGCGCTAATGGCTGAGTGCTTGTCGGGACTTTTAGGAAGGGAATCGTGACTAGAGTTACTACATTTTGTTAGGGTAACTGTGGAGTCACCGTAGCAACAACTGAGACCCTGGCATCATGCTTCAGAGTAAAGCACCCCTAAACACACAGACAAACACACACCCACACACACACAGAGGTCCCCTCCCCCCGCAATCTCCTCACTAAGACCTCAGGAGATCTTGTTCAGAGCGGATTTTGGTCACAGCAGGAGAGCAAGGGTAAAGATTTCTATGCCTACTCTTTATCTTTTAGTACAGACTTCAGAAACCATCTCCATTTTTGTTTACATGTTACCCTGACCTGAAAGCTGGTGGTTGTGTTATTAGCAAAACAGTTATTAGTAAACCGCAGGTTTCACAGGGTGTACGCTATAATTAACTCTGCATCTGGAATAGAGTGGGCAATATCACTATGCTGCCAGCAATTCAATCAATCTTTTATTAATTAGAAGCAAAATGACAAAACACTGCAGGTTTTCAGAATGCGTAACAGATTCGCTCTAGCGAAGGAGAAAATAAGTACGATCTATGCGATACCACAAAACACTTTTTCTTTGTAAGCATTTGAAGAAATTATTATCAGTAAAAGCACAGGAACAACAAGCCTAAACATAGCCTACTGTTTCTTTTACTTTTCACAAATCTGAACAATGCTTTCAGGGATAAACAATTGTTTCCCTTTGTCTGTCATTCTCACTCTCTTTTTGCCGAATCTCCCCACGCAAAACTCACAAAATCTATTCAACGGCTTTACTGTTACAACAGGCATGCAGACACTTTAAGAAGAAAGATGCAGAAGAAAATATTGGGAAGTGACCGTGTAAGAGTGGCATATTTGGAGCTTCTTTTAAATGCACAATCTGGAAGACTTTAAAGGTAAACTGGGGATAAGGGATAAACAAACTGCATTTAGATGTCTCAGACTCATACATATTGCATCTGAAGGAACTAAATTAGAATAGTGTTTGAGACCTTCAAACACAGTGTATGTTGAGTGGATGACTGTACTTGGTCTTTTCTTTAATCATCTATATAGGTTTTTTTTATTTTCATATGGTTTGACTGTTTTTTCAGACATGGCACATACATAAGGCCCTGTGAAGACTGACTCTCTGTTGCAACATTGCATTAAAATCAGAGAGCAGGAGAGGCCTCAGGGCAGCAGAGGATTTCAGGCGCTTCCATCAACCTGTGACTAGATGAGAGCTTAATCTACAGGGCTGTGTAATGATGAGTGCTCACTTTTTTCTCCTTCAAACAGAGTGGAAAGATCCATAATTCATTAAGGCAAAACATAAGTTGATGCATTACAGCTGCCACTGCTTAAAAAGATGGACACATTTTCTGCCCTCCTTTTAAAAAGTGGTTTATTCTTAGCTGTGTTAGATGCATATTTTGTGTTGCTAATTTTGGAAGATTTTTGCTGAGGGTATAGCTTAATGGAACTACTGTAAATACCATTAGGATGTCATTGTATAGGTGGATACCTGGTTTAATGTCAGAAGAAATGAGGAGGCTAACGTAGGTCAGGAGACAACCTGGATTTGGAGCAATTAAATATTAAGGTCTAGCGGGAATACATTTACAGCAAACTGCAAAAGGATAAGAAAGTGGCAGAGAGAAACAGACAGAAAAACATGGTGGAATAAGACACTGAGAATATATGACCTAGTTTTTCCTTTTTTTTTACTTCCTCAGTTTAGGTATACTGTTGTTTTTTTTGGTTATGGCAAGCCAGAAGCCTGGAGGGCAGGAAGAGCAAAGTTTGAAGTAAACGAGGAATAAACTCCAGCAGTGTGGTTATTCAGGTGCATTAGCCTGATCCCTCCCACAGCCAGGTTAGACAGATGATAGTCAGGATGCCACACAGTCAAAGCAGAGCATTCTCCTCTTTCACTCCACTCTCTTTCCTCCTGCCTGCTGACGTCAGCCACCCAGAGCACACGACTCTGCTGCACACACACCTGCTGGCTTCTCAGTCCATCTGGCCCAGATCCATCTCTGGCTCAGCTCTACGAGCACAAACACAGGTCTGTTTACAACCTGGGCACACAGTCACAGCCCTACAGTAAATGCAGTATCTATTTCATGCTCGCTGCTGAGAGAAAATAGGAATGCCTGCAGTATGGCCTGCTGCTGATAACACTATATTATAGTTACAAGAATTGTGCATGTCTTATTAATGTTTAATTGTTTCACATTGCAGGTTAAATGTTTCCTTGGTGTGTCGTGGAGCGGCTTTAATGCCTCTACATGTTGCTGACTAGTAGGAGAATTCTCCAAGGATTTCCTTACACCCCCACTACAACTGTACAGGATCCACAAAGGGAACAAGTTTGTATTGTAATTGATGTGACAGGCCCTCTCACCTACTTGTTATGAAATCAGCAAGAATGTAAAACTGCACAATCATCAAAGTAATGCTTGTAGTGGTGAGACAAAAAGGCAAAGAGAGAGAGATTTTTTATATCAGGGCCTAGTTCTGTTTTCATCTCCACAAGCAACATGAAACAACTGACAATATGATTAGTTTGTTCTCAACTGTGGTAAATAATAATATGAAATATATATATGCATACAAGCAAACATAGGAATACTGCTTCACTAAATGAGAACATTCAATGCATCAAATGGCATATTTGAGCTATGCTTCAACCAGTCTAGATCAGTCAAAATAAATTAACTTAGTAGGCATGTCCTCCAGAGGAGCAACACAATACCCTGTTTGCATTATTGATGTCAGAGGTTCAAGGCAAACTACATGAGCAACAACACTAAATTATGATAATTAATACCAACAAGCAATAATCCAGCAAGCAACACTACCTCAAGCAAGGAGACACACTGACACATAGCAAAAAATAATCCCTTCCAGTTTGAATGTCAGAGTGTAATGTGCTTTAGACACCCCATCAACCTCTGCTGGAGGGGAACTGCTATGTCTGTCCTACAAAGCTCCCTGGAATAAGCCCTGCTGCCACTAAATTCACATAGCCTCTTCTGGCAAAATAGTAGGTCACGTGAATGAGAAAACAATACGCAAGTCCTGTGTTATTTGAAACGAGAGAAATTGTGGTGTGTATTGTCTCTTGGTCGACACTAGCAGCGGGACATGAAGGGCACTTGCTGTCCCTCTGCTCAAACACTCGCGTTTCCGTCTGCCAGGTCAGACACAAATGCATCGCTATTCCCTGCTCTGCAGAGTGGAAACACTGTGGTCGACAGGTGACTAACCTGAATGGTGCACGTATATTCCGTATCATCCAGCAGTCTCACGGTGCAGCTGTATTCCCGCTCAAGATTCCTGATGCTGCCACTCTTGAATCGGCTCAACATCTTTTCGGAGAATCGCTGCTGCTCTGCGTCTAGGACCAGAACAATAAAACTCAACAGCAGCGTGCCAATGAATGTCACATTGACCACAATCCCCGGTCCCCTAAACGACCAGCAGTCGGCGAGGCGTGCACCATTGTTGTTCCGTTAAGTTTTCGTGCTGTGGGCCCGTGTTAAAAAGAGCAGAATCCAAGGATGCCCGCATCCAGATCCAGCAGGGTAGCTCTGTTGTGTGTCTGCTGTGGAGCCGAGGAGGATTATCTCTCACCATTCACCGCGGCCACTTGAGCAGGCGGGCGGGTCCCAATGAAAACTGACGTCAAAGTGAACCAACGGGGATGTGTGGTGTTTTTTCTCTGCACTTTAATATATTCGTTCTTACTCCGCAATTTGTCCAGAAAATATTAAAAGTGGCTTCTGTTGGTTAAATATCAACTAGAGATTTAAATTAAAATATAAAGTCATATTTTTTTTATTTTGCAAAATGTTTATTGACAGCAGGTGCCTTACAGTTTAACACACCTGTTATGATAACATGCTTGCTATCTAAAGATGTTTGTGATTCATTATGGATGTGACTAAGCTTTAATACCATTTATCAGATGAGGTAAATCTTCTGAAGCTATAGCCTACCATATGAGAAATATGTAGCAATGTGTCCTGAGGGATGGGCTTACTGGCTTTAAACAATGCCAGCCCTACCAAATATTAATGTCTTGAGGTGTCATAGCACTCAGGTTGGTTTGTTAACATTTAAATATTTGTGTTAAAGGTCCCATGTCATGGCCATTTCTACTTATCATAATTCCATTGTTGAGGTCTACTAGAATAGATTTACATTGTTCAATGTTCCAAAATCACATTGGTTTTCTCATACAGCATCTCTGTATAGTATGTGTATTCACTCTCTGTCCTAAACGGCTTGTTGGAGCTCCTGCCCCCCCCCTCTCCCCCCCTCTCCCTATGAGCCCACTGTGCTCTGATGTGTGTTTATGTGTTACAATGGCGTTTGTTAGCAACCAGAAAATGACACCAGTAATGACAAACAGATGAGTATGCTGCGTGGGGTCTGGGTGCCGCTCGTTGCTCCGCCCTTTGAGGCTCGAGGAGCGGACAGTGTGAGCTGTATTACTGGTGTCGTTTCCTGGTTGCTGCGTGGGGTCTGCGAAACAGCGAGACACCGCGGAACTCAGCCTGAGCACACAAACACAGTGTGGCGAACTGTGAGTGGAGATCCACAGAACCGCGGCTGAGAAAAGATAAGGCTGAGTGAGTGTGTGTGTGTGAGGAGCTCCACGGATTTGGTTCATTTGGACCTGGGTATCGTTACGTCACTATACTCAGGAAGAAAAAAATGGAAAAAGAAAAATCTCCAACGAGGCGTTCTGGGGCAGCATAGACAGGTATTTTCTGTGTTAGAGTTTTACTCGCTACAGGGTGTACTTTGAGGGTTTGTAACTTTGCAGACCGTTTACATGCAGAAAAAGCTACATAATACACAAGGGGACTGGTAATAACCGGAAAAGCATGACATGTGACCTTTAAACTTAAGGTTAGCCATTCAGACAGGAGGCAGAGGTTATTTATCATACTTCTTACCAGGTCATCTTGGGTGAGTATTTAATGTATTCTACTGCCACCTGCAGGCCAGTCATAGTTAGTGCGTTTCAAGTAGACAGTGCAACTACTGTTTGTATGGTGCATAGTGTACTATGGCATGTTAATGGTTTGGGTGATACATGTAAGGTGATAGAGAATTTTCGCTATAATTATAAGCAGTTTAATATTTCTACTATTCAATTTTGACCTACTTCTCACAGCAGAGTTGACCACATTTCTATCAGTAAACCGTTATTTTCTTTCACATGAAAATCCAAGGTATGTTCTACAGCTTACCACGTTAACCATAACATGGGTATAATTGTGTTTCAGCGTTGTAAATATTGTACGAAAATCCAAAAGGTCTTTCACTCCCTGCCGTGACCCGGATTCGACCGAGGTTGCTGCAGCCACAACGCAGAGTACTAACCACTATACGATCACTGCGAGCTATCATGGACTGTTGCTGCCATCGAATACTTTAGCTATTAGTAGTTGTGAAATATGCATACATTAGACCTTGGTTTCGTATTTATTGTAAGATTATCGCTTAAATATGTCCCTTTGTAACGTTACAGGGTAAAGGGAGCAAGAAACAAATTCCTTTTACTCAAACACATAGGCTACCTATATCAGAGAAACAGATAATGCTGCAGTGGTCTATTATTATTTTTCCGAGCTGTATATGTAGTCTATTCAATGTTAAAACGTTGTAATCCATTTAAACTGTTGATTGGAGAGTAAGATGTAATAACAATATACACTTTTAGAAAATGACAACAACAAAAAAAGGTGGAAAGTAGTGATTTTTATTAGATAAATTATTAACAGTAAAGGTTGTTACTCTTTGTTAGGCTAGCCAGCTTGCCACAAATGAAAAAGTGATTCAAAAAAAGTACAATACATTTATTAAATTAAGTGTTAATGTTTCTTCTGTGTTGAGCTAATAATTAAAGGCTGGAAAGGCCAATCAAACACAAACCTCAGCCATCCACTCACTCATTCATCATCCACAGACTCATTGACAGGCAAATGTCAAAAAGTAAAGTCTTGCAGTTCATTTTCATCGTTCTCTTCAGGTTCGTTGCCCCTTGTAACTGCAACTTTAGCAGCACACTCTGCCTTTCTGGTGAAAGGGCCAGCCTGAGTCTGATGCAGCCGTGGTTTGCTGCTTGTAATGTTGCCCATACTTTGAGCAGAAGCACCTTCTTTTTTCTTGGCTGGTGTTGTATGATTCCTCCTGTGCAGTTTACAGGATGCCACCAAAGGCTTTCCTATGTCTACTTGTTGGCTTTCTGTCTGGCGCAGCTTACTGTCCATATCAGTATAGTGTAGATCAACTTTGATGATCAGCGATTCCTGACAAAGACAAATGATAAACACCATTTCAAATTGATTGTATATATTTTCTTGTAAATACTTTCTCCGTTTTGTTTTTCAAAAACATTGTCAGGATAGAATCACACACATTATTGACTACATACCGTAAGCTTCTGAAGAGCACAAAGTCGCAGTGTAGAGTCCACGTTTTCAGATTTGGTAAATAGTAAAGAGTCCATGTCCTCTGGCCCGGAAAAGATGTCTTCCATTGGCTAAAGATTTAAAGCATATAAGATTTTGTCAGTATTATCACAATTGTCCTGCTTTAACACTGGCCAGGCAATGACTGACTGCTAGAAATGCACCTTATGATAAAACCTTTCATTAATCAGCCACTAGATGTCAGTATGGGCAAGGATTCTGCATTCATCTAATAGGCTAAAGAAGTACAGCATATGACTATCACTACTTCCTTTTTCTTTGTCTGTGGCTGTAGACTGGAAGTCTATATATGGGCAGAACTTCCTCCGACATGTTAAACGTGGGGTTGTTTGGTCACCAGAGAAATTCTGCTTGCTCATGGAAACTGACAGCCCTTGTGGAATTTATGATGCAGATACAACTTGTGTAGTCATATTAACAGAAAGTCACACTTTAATGTATACTGTTTACTTTTGCATAGTGGGTTTTTGTTTCTTTAAAGAACAGTGCCTTGCTTCAAACATCTCACTGTATAGAGCTCCTGTGGCTCCTAATTCGATGAGAATATAACTTGACAGGATAGTTTTAAGTAAAGATAAATATTTACAGGTATGCTGCTCAGGGTGACGGTGCAGTCCTGGGTCCGGGGGCCTTTAGTCTTTACAGTGGCAAAAGCCATCAAGACATTAGAGAACAAAGCTGAGAAGCTGACTTCCACTTCAACCCCGCAAACAAACATCCGCCGCTTCTTCCGTGGTAGTTCTGAAAGGAGATATGAAAAAGGTTTATTATCAAATAATGACTTAGGTTAACATATTATTCTTTCGATTTGACTGTACATTTACACATTATGGTATACAATGATTTACTGATGGAGCAGCTGATCTGATAATTTAGACCGCAGACATTTTATCATTCGTCTTGTCTAAAGTAGATGACATTTTAACATGATCTTTTATCATTCAAAAAGGGGTCAAATTAATTTCAGGAAGTTATGGTGCCATTGAAAAACATATTTTCAGTAAACAGGACAATGTTAAACAAACCAGTTCCCCTTTTTGATTAATCAAAAACAATGACTAGTGTTTTTGAATGGTGCTGAAAATATCCAATTAAACCACAATGTCTGTCGGCGCTTGGTTTGTCACATGTGTGTAGGAGGTATAGTAAAAAAAAAATCTCCCACACTATCGAGGGCAGTAGATCAAGAAATGGAACTGTGGTTTACTTGATGTAAAATAAACTGTATTTAAACTGTGTATGTTTTAACATCAGCTCTTGAATGTGATTTCACCTGGAAAAAACATGTAAGACAGTTTCCTCAACTCACTGTTTGCTTGTCTCCAGCAGGCATCGCGCAGATGTAGTTCTCCCGTGTGTCCGGCAGTCTGAACTGGGTCAGCAAGAGATCGAGGTTCCTTCAGTGTGTGTTTTATCTCCACCTGCTGCTTGCCTGTGACTAGAGGGTCTCTGCCAAGATCTGGTGTAGAGAGGGAGAAATATACAAGTAAATAAAAGCCTGCAAGACTCTACAGCAACTTCACATACACATTTCCAGGGTGTTTTCCCCATATTTCACTCAGTCTACTTTAACCACGTTCAACACTGCACTAACTACTAGGGTTAATCTTTAGCAACTACAATAGGATTGGAATTCATACACTTTGGCTCATGGGGCTTCCTGAGTTCTGCAATAGCAAGAAAGAAAAGTTCATCAGCTTCACATGGCTGACTTTGAGGAACCTTGGGAAATTTGAAAAGTGATTTAATCTTCACAGCAATTACCTGGAAGTTTGGAAACCCTATTACAAAAGATTGAGTACATGCAAACATAGGAATCATAAACAGGGTGGACTAACCAGTAGTAAAAGCCATGTCGCAAATATCTAATATACCGTAGATTTATGCTTGACTTGAGAATATTTGGCTTCAGGGATATCTGGGGCGAGCTGTCTTCACTATAATAGATGAGCAACCAGCCGCTCTTCTTCCATTTCAAAAAGTACCAGACAAGATGAGCGATATCAAAAGCAGAGGCACAGGAATGTTTAAGTTACTGCCTATATTGTTCACTTGAATACAAAGAGATAAAAAGTGAAAAAGGATCAAACCTGAAAAATCATAATCATGGTTAATTTGTTCATCTAAATACGTCAACATACACAAACCCCGACACACAGAATTCTGTCAGCAGGGAGTCCTGTGAGCTCATGAGCACCGTGGCATGGGTGCCTAAACGGCAGAGCAGCTGTCTTGCAGGGTGCAAGCACTCAGGTTTCCTGCTGTTCTCTTGCCAACAGTGTGAATTTCCAGAGAATGAGGTCATATGCTAATGGTACCTTGAAAAATAAATCTCCCAGAGACCCATCAAGCAGACAAACATGCTCTCAGGAAGGGAACATTTGATAACTCCCACCCCGCCAGTCACTGCTATACTACTGTCCTGAGTAAACACTAAAATTAGTAGCTAACCATTATAAAACGTCTCGGTGACCCAGCCAGCGCACCGAAGAACAACCTGTTCCCTTTTTATCTGTTTAGCCACTGTCAACTTACTGAACGAGAAAAAACAAACAAAAAACTGATGAATTCATTATCATCCTAGAATTTGCTCACATACAAAAAAAAGAAACAGTCCCGTTTGAAATACATACCCTCTGACACTCTCTCTAAGACATGTGTGACTTTCTCGGTCTGTAGGATGTGTGCATTCAAGTACTTTGTGAAGATTCCAGTACTTTTCCCCCCGTCCTGGACCTCAAAAGCCTCAGCATCTTCACATCTGCATCGGTTAATACAGGAAATGTTATTCAAAATAATCAGAGACCAAACTATTTAGTTATTATTTTTAAATAAACATTACTTTCTACAGCATGTTGACTGAATTGAAATAAAAAAAGGTTCTTGAATTTGCAATTGAATATGTATTAAACGGCTCGTAAAAAGTACATACGTGGCATAACCATAAACAGTGTTCCCTGTGGGTCCTAAAGGCATAATACCCGAAGGTATGCAATCCTGGTTGTACCTGTATAAAGTAAAATACAGTTCAGGGTATTGAAACAATCAAGCTGCATATTATGAATAACATCTAATAATATGTACAGAATATAACAGTTTGTTTAATAATCATTTAAAAAATAAAATGTGAAAATATATGCGTTACTGTCAGTTTGTGAAAACAGAAAGGAAGTACTGCACCTACCATTTTCTACATGTGTCCAGAAGCATTACACTCAGTGCAGTCTGTTTCTCCTGCATACTGCGCATGACTCTCTGCACACAGACACAGTTTTCAGGTCGGTACGGTTGTGGAGCATCAACAGCTACCAAGTAATTCCTCCCAGCATGCTCATATCCATGACCCGCATAGTAGAAAAGGCCTGTTGAGAGGGATAAAATATACATCTAATTACAGCGGCAAGACCACAAAAATTGTAATCATCATATTTTCCACCTAACATGAAAAAGTTATCTGATTTCAGTACAGTATGATATGTTTGCTTCCGTCTTTATTTCGTTATTAGCAAGAGAAAGTAGAGAATAGTAACACACAGTATCATTCTGACAAAGCAGTTCTCTTATCCTTATTGGGTGTACAGTTCCCCTTAACAATATGACTTGTGCAGCTGTATGCTTTAGTTATTAATAGCTCACATTTTTCATAAGATGAGGGGCCACCTTTCTTTTTTGTTTAACACCGTGGATGTGATACACAGAATGTATTTGCCTGATTGTGAATGACCCAATCTCAAAGTGCTTCAGGCATAGAGGACGTGCCATATTTAGCATATGCTGTTACAAATGCCTATGCTTATCTTTAACCTTATCTGCTCACTCAACCACGAATACGTGTAAAGCAAGATATTGGTACTGTAAACCAAGCGTGACCCATGACGCATGGACAACAAAAGATAATAGCCACAGAACAAACCAGAAGAAGTTACAATGTTATATCTCAGATCCAACAAAACGTTTTTTTTTTGTTGCAGAATTTGTTCAATCATGAAACAACAGAAATATGTAGCTAATTTAGAAACAATTTTATGTAGAGACAAATTATAATCACCATAAACTCCTCTGTCAAGGAGCTGAATGAACTTTTCTATAGCGGCTAGCATCTCCTCTCTGGTGAGGTCCAGCAGGGAAACCACTCTGAAGCCAAGCTGCTGCAGGAGGTTGGCCAGCTGATGCACATCCATGATGGGGGCCATCAAGGCCGGGTGGTGGGAGTAATTCAGGTTGCCAATAAGGAGGGCAACTTTATCAGTGGCTGCAACAAAGATATAAGTTACATTCTAATTAAAGCAACGCAACCTAATTCTCATACTGTGATTGTTTTCTATTAAAGCACACTAAAACTAGCGAGGGTTAACACCGAGTTTCTTTCGTTATGCGTACCTGTGGTTGCTGAAGTAGGAAGCTGATCCGTTGGCACTAAAGAAGTGTGAAAAAGAGAAGCACAAATCAGTTTCTTCAAACAAAAATCTGATCTTAAGTACTATCATTTTTTATCAAGAATGTACACAAAGGGTATTTTAAAATAAATTGGACGATATTTTGTGATCCATACTCTACACGCCACAACATAAGTCACAAACAGGAAAAACAATGCAAGAGCTAGTTTCACTTTACACCTCTTTCCTGTTGGGTGTCTAAGGCTCGGATTATGCACTATTTTAAGTCCTACTTCCTTTTTTGTCTGTAGAAATGGGAAAGTACCTGCTGCATAATGGAAATAACTTCTAAGTACTACATTTATGGAATGGAAGGAATGTTTTCTTCACAGCCTTTTCATGAGAACTGGAGGAAGTAAAGTACTTTGCTAAAAAGAAAGACTTTAAACTGTGGATAAAAGTTATGACTTACCAATGTCAACATCCACTGGTTCAGTCCATGTCTCTTGTAGTATGTTAGATATGCAGCACAAGTATGATCCTTCATGTTCGGCTGTTGCATTGTCAATCTGCAGGTATTACAAAAGATTATATTCCTATCATTGTTTGTCTTTCTGGCATGTAAGATAACTCATCCATAAATTAAAACCTTGGCAAAAATGTCACCAAAGTGCAGTGATTCATACCCAGTGAAATGAACCAGTAAATACAGTACAGTGTAAACAATCACTGTCAGCACTGAGCTAAGTAAACACTCCGTTCTTACCTGTAGCGTGCCAGTAGTCTTATCCTGCAGCGGCTGTCCATTTCTGTACCACTGATAGTGTGGAGTGGGGATGCCAAAGGCAGCGCAGTGGAGAGTGAGTTTTTTACCTTGTCGGACTGTCTGGGGTTTAGGGCTCACAGCGATGTGTGGCTCGCCTTGCCAGTGAATGGGCAACCCTGATAGAATAAGATAAAAGCAATATGCTTAACACGTATTTACTGCCAACACCCAAGGGCTATGTTGAAGTATGCAAAATAACGGAAAAAGCACTACACTACTACAATAGAAATTAACATGACAATGGCACAATGCATACCTGATTTATCAATGTCCAACACCTTCACTTTCACCCAGTCGCTGAACACGCAGTTACAGAAGTTGTCACTCACTCGGCAGATGTAGAGCTGAGATTTTTTAGCTTGTATGGTCAAGTCTTCCTTATTGCCCGCAAACACCTGGAAGTGAAAAGGGAAATTATCATTGTATTATAATTATCAGTACAATAATGTGTTCATCACTTTAATGTTTCAGCTGATAAAGGTGGAGCTTATCATTTTACTGTACAAACAGCTGAGTAGCTAGTGAATTTAACTTATAATAATAAACTATTTGTTGATTATATCTTGTATTATAAATCTGAATCTCAAAATTGCCTAAAGTTATCAAATAAGTTAAGCCTACTGGTGTAAAAAGTTTAAAATGTATAAGAAGCATAAAGTGGTATCTTTGGAAGTTTTTCCTTGTCTGTTGTGAGGGTCCAAGGACAAAGGGTGTTGTGTTCATATTCTGTATAAACTCATAGTCGACTGAGACACATGTGTGATATTGGGCTGCTATATGAATAAACCTTGATTGATTGATTGATGGTATAACAAAATAAATACTCCATACACACAGATATTATTTGCACATTACATTTACAGTAACAAACGCTATTTAACACGCTTGAGTATGGTTGTAAAACCTTAAAAAGGAACGTTTTCATAACCCATACACACAAGCACAGGTGAAGAAGACTACGTACCTCTTCATCATCTTCAGTGAACCACTGGTAGAGCAGGATTCCTTTGCCCTCAGCACGGACTCTTAGGGTCACCTTATGGTCCGCAGGTAAACACACAGAGAAAGGGTGCCGCACTATGAACAGTTCTGTAACAAATCAAGGGAAAATCTCATTAACATGAAATCCAACTGTGTTGTCACTATTATTTTTAAAAAGTCAAACCATTGCTGTGGTAAAAACACAACATACCGCTGATCATTATTCGACGGGATTTGGTACGGGATCCAGTCATCAGTGCATTTTCTTCTTCTTATAACAGACTGTAGGAAGTTGAGTCAAAGTTTACATTGAGTTAGTTCCCAGATCGAAAAACAACGAAATGACAAGAATATAAGGAAACGGCTTTAACAGAGAAGTTATAAGGGCATTAAAAGTCTAGCATCAGCCCATAACTTCTCTTTTCTATCGCAATTAGCAACTGTAGTCACAACACCGTATCAGATAGAAATGTCCATAATCAACCAATAAGGATGTAAGTGTAGCTATACCTGCTGTAGCCATGTACCAGTGGGTCAGCTGTCAGTAAGTGTATGTTTTCCTGCTGTGAAACCTCATAACTTCACTTGCAGCTAAAAAAATAACTTCCCTTTACCGGAACGAGACAGCATGCACACATATTACCGACAAGCCTATAATACCGGGGCATCTCAAAGAACATGATATGTCTGTCACCTTTGTTTTACTGACAAAATGGAGATTTATTTTGATTTGAAAATTAATATGTGCTTTTAGTTGAAAATGTTTGAAGCAGACGAACTCTACGCCGGTTAAATTGATGGGAATCATTTCAGGGGATATGCAGGTGGAGACACTTTTACAGACATTACGGTAACAAGAAATCTGGCCCCTTTTCAGGTGTTGTAAAATGACAGAGATTGAGTTTAGGGACATACTGGACACTCACAATGTGATAGAGAAAATATGGAGTGATCTTTACCATTTTTTTAAAGCATCTAAATTAAATATATTCAAATAGTATGCCAACTAATGTTTTATTTGTACATTTATTGTAATTGTTGTATAATGAATTACTATATTCTGTATAATATGCTGATATTATGATAAGCATCTCCTTTACAACTATTGTATTAGGCCTTTTCACATAAGTCTGTTAGGTTTAAATATAATATATGTAATAATATGTTTGCCTACTTGAGTTAGGTTTTTTTATGTTTAGTTTGTTAAAGCTACATTTGTATTTCCTTTTATCAGGAACATCTTAAATCTCGTTTTCAAGTGTTTCTTGGCCAAGATAGAATAGTGAGTTGAAAAAAAAAACAATATTAGATACAAATATAATTATACAATTATAAATACAATAGGTTTCATCAATAACAAATTCAATATTAAGTAAAACAACTCAAAATATATCTAAAACAATAAAAACACTATAACTAACACATCAAATAGCTATACGTTGTTAAATACAATTATGTAATTTGTCAGCTGACCCTGTTTTTCACAAATTGATGTGAAACATGAGCAGCAGGTCTCCATGTTTTGACCATGTGTTGCAATACAAGGTGAGGGGGGCTGTCCTTATGCAACTATTGGGCAAATCAGGACATAGAGCATTTTGTTTTCACAAGCTACCGACACAGACATGTTTTGTAAGTCCACATCCACTGCAGTGTCTCAAGATGGGACACCCTTTTTCCAACCTAATTAGATTAATCAAAACAAAGCAGGGACAATTTATTGTACAACCCTTGTTGATATAACATTTTGGGGTATTTGCTCTGGTCTAAATGGTTAGCTTTTACTTTAATTTCAGTTAGGTTTTTCGACTTCTGTCTATAGTCTAGTTTTGGAAAAACGTATGTGCTCTTGCAACTATTTGTAGGGCTGCTATAAATAGGGCCCTGCTGGCAACACATGCGTCTATGATAGGCAGTTACAGAGACTTTCTTCACAGACTGTGGCTCCAAAGCAACATTGACAACATCTAATGGTAAGTTGGACAATTTACCTAGTTTTGGGGTGACCAAGAAACACCTGAATTGTATTCCTAACACGTACAAGTCAATAGCATGTCTTTGGTTTGTGATTGACCACTTACAGCCCTTCCACAGTCTGATAGCCGGTCCTATTTATAACTTGCTCCAATGCAGTACTTTGCTTGGTCAGAAAGGACAGGCATTGAGTCTGAACGGTGTGTTTGCTGAACAAATTAACCTCATACTATATTTCATTAACTTCCAAGAGATTCTGGTACCATTCTGAACAGTTTCTTTTTCTTCTTCTCCAGGGGCTTCTACATGGATAACACCATTACATTTGTGCCTTGAACACAGACAAAACTTGGACGTGAACGCAGAGCAGTTCTGTGGTACTGTGGCTGATACATTTCCCTCGGATTTTGCCTTTTGCTTCAGTGGACGATGACTTCCAGAAGACCAATGGCCAGCTCTGTCTCTGGCAATGGGAGGACAAGCAGCTTCAGTGAAGAGGAGGGCAGCTCTTCCAATGGCCGCTCGGAAAGCCGCAATCCTTACCTCTCGAACGTTAGGCCTGAAAACAGGTAGACAGCCTCATCTATAATCTATATTTATGTAGAGGATGTTTTGTCTAAATGATCAAATAAATGATATGTGTTTCTGTTTTAAATCCATGAGAATAGAAGTGCTCCTTTTGTTAAAGAAGAGGGCCATTATTAAACTATTTCATGTAGGTGGGTTATACACAGAACTCAAGCACTGACATCCCTTCATTTGCCTTCTCTCTGAATAGCTATTCAAGGTATTCTCACTACAGGTCACCGAGGTAATCCATACTTTAAAAACATTCCTCCCAACTAACATCTTAACCACAAAAAACGGTTTACCCCAAGAATGAAACCTACACGTTTGAACTGTAATGTAAGTGTCCGGTTTGTCCAGTGTTGCGTTGATAAACATCGTTCTAAATGTTGGATTGACAACCAATGTTTGCTTGACCTCTCACAAGTCTTTGTCACTCCTTTACATTCTCGTCACTACCAGAAATCTCCATTAACATCCTTTTTTCCCTAATTAAGCAAGTTATTGGAATGTACTGCACAGAGGTGAAGACGTCCCTGTTATAATGCTGTATAAGTGTCAAACTGTCTATGATTTAAAAGCAATACATTGACTCTCTAATGCATTAGTGTTTGCTTCCAGGAGCACTTTGTGCAGCGTCATGGCTCAGCTGACCGAGGACATACAGCCGTCCTTTGAGTCCACCTTGAAATCGAAGGCAGTTTCAGAAAACTGCAATGTGAAGTTTTCCTGTGTGGTATCAGGTACGTGTGTGTTCACTTGCATGGCTTAGTGTGGGATTTGTTGGAGTAACGGAAACATTTCTGTATGTTCACTAAGAAAGGGTTTACTGTTGATTGCAGAAAATAACTGTTTTATTCTTCCTGAACGGCTCTTTAAACACAACAGCCAATATCATGTTCGAGCTTTTCTTTCCGGATGTTGTGTTTTTAGCTTCAGGCAGATACTGTAGGATGGGTGGGCCTGTATAACAGCAGCAGCTGTTCCTGCAGTTGACACATCATAAACATGATTCATAGCCTAAAAACATGTTCGTGCCAAAGCTTCTATACTGTACATTATGTTTACTACCCATGTCTTTAGGTTACCCAGCTCCAGAACTGAAATGGTATAAGGATGATATGGAAATGGACCGGTACTGTGGACTCCCAAAATATGAAATTCATCGTAATGGAAAAATCCACACCCTCCATATTTACAAGTATGTAACGTAACCTTGTAAATTATTAGAAATTCAGCTTCTCATTTGTTTACTTATTGGTTTAATTGTTACATCGTTGGCTTACCTATACTATGAGATTGATAAATGTGTCTGTTTTCAGAAGCACATTGGATGATGCAGCCATCTATCAGGTTTCAGCTAGCAATAGCAAAGGTATTGTCTCCTGCTCTGGAGTTTTGGAGGTCGGCACCATGAATGAGTACAAGATCCACCAGAGGTTCTTTGACAAGCTGAAGCAGAAAGCAGAAAAGAAGAAGAGCGAACTAGAGGGAAACACTAAGAAGGGGGGTAAAGAAAACGTTGAGAAAGAGAGACCGCAAATTAGCCCAGAGCGTCCTTCAAGGAAGAGGCATGTCCCCCCACTGGAGAGGAGGCCGGCGGTCAAGGAGCCTGAGGCTGAGGAGCAACTGGGAGCTGCTGCAGAACCTAATGGACCTGTGGCATCCCAAGTCCTGGAGAAGAAGATATCTCCACCTGAGGAAACCTTGGCCAAAAAGAAAATAAAGATCACAAATGGTGTAGATGCTGAGGTTAACAGCAGCTGCAGCAGAACCACCAATATGATGGGTATTGGAGGAGAAAACTGTTATGATGGAGGAATTGGTTTGGCACAATTCCTGGCAGAGACTCTCCAGGCCTCAGAGGAGAAACAGAACTCATCCAAAGGGGAAACCCCTGAAGAGATGGATATACCTATTGTAAGTGTCAGTAAAGAGAGCGAGCAAGAGATGATGCAAACATTGAGGGAAAAACAAGAAAAAGAGGAAGATTATGTAAGGGAGAAAAATAGAGCGGCGGAACTGGCCACAGAGAGGGACAAAGAAAGGGAAAGACTGTTGGAGATGTCACATACACTACCAAACACAAAACATGGTTCACATGCCAGACATCCCAACAAGGCTCATAAGGATCAGGACCATCACAACATACAGGCTTCCTTAACCTCTGTTCTTCACTCAGTCAAAGATTTCTTCTTTGGTAAGACCAAAAAGGACTCTCATGATCACATTGAGAACAAGGAAGGGGAGCTCAACCCTTCTCCTGTTTCAACGCCACCATCATTTCGGCTGCAAACAGAGCAGAACCAAGTGGGCAAGTCTCTCCAAGAGGACGTTGTGCCTATGGAAATGGATCAACCAAAGGAGCCTTCTAAATCTGTGGATATAGAACAACAGTCAGCGTCACTGAAGCCACATGAACATAAGCATGAAGCCAGTGTCCAACACACAGTCCATCCACCAGAACATAAGATACCACCTGAGAGCATAGACCAGCCCAGGGGGGAGAGTGTGAACGCAGAGGACAGTCCTGTGGAGGTCATGGAGGTGTCTGTGGGGCCAGAGATCATTGGTCCAGGTGGAGAAATGTCATTATCTGGGCTTCAAGTTCTCACTGAGGTATGTACTGTACAGAGGTCTTGGAGGACAGCTGGCTGCCACTTGAGTGTTATATATAGGCTGCATTTGTGTGACAAGATCAAACAAGATGAGCTACTTCAGGGCTGAACCCTGAACTATGTCAACTATGACACAGTTTAGGATTTGAACTGCTGCTAGCATATGATGACTAGTTGTTATGTTATATGCGTGAGTAAGTGTGAGACAATCAGGAAATGCAGCTGCTATAAATCATGTGGTTGAACATCATCAGTGTTCAACCACAGGGGGAGTGAGTCGTACTGTGAGGCTGTGGTTTTACTGCATCTATATCACTCAAGAGTGACAAGCCCAACAAGATACAGTAGTGTGTGAGAAATAGGGAACTATAAGAACCGAGCAACTTGCACTGGATATGTTTGTGGGTGGGGGATGTTGTGGATTTACATTCACTGTAAGATAG